AAACTGCTATAATACAAAGTACTGTAGTGGCCATATTTTCAAGTAACATTGGCAAATGCCAATTTTACATTTCATGAATGTTAGTGACCGCTCTAGCAAACTATAAAACATTTAAACTAAAACCAATTTTAAATGCACACAACCCTTTTCATTCAGGAGAGTGCTGTGGGAATTAAGATTTTATGTCATTGAATCATTCATTGACAACCAAAGTGATTTCAAATTCTACAGATTTTTCTAGTATTCAGAAAGCATTTTAACAAGGTTATTGACAAAATGCCCCCCCCCCCTGAAATGCTTTTTGCAGTCTAGGTGTTAAATTACTATGGTATTCACTGGACTCAAGGTGGCAAATTAATTTAAGTACTGTATACTGTATATAAAAAAATTCGTCATTGGCCCGTCAAAACCTTTCCTGCAACAAAAGATCCCAGGGATTTAGACATTACCAGTTCACCCATACAGTATGTGTTTATAATTTAAGCAATTTATACCAGTTTAGGAATTTTGTAATCCTAAATGCACAATTTGCACCATTTTGGCAAAGATCAGATTAGGGCACTACGTGGCATAGAAATCTATGCACTACCTTTACCAAACATACAATGCAAAGGGATTTATTTCCAAAGAACCAAATACAACTTTGGATTTTAGTCATTTTATTTATGGTTAATACCAAGTTCCTTCTTGCAGGATTTTAAAAGTTAATCAACAGGGTATAATGGAGGGGCCAAAGTAGAAAAACTAATAAAGAACATTTTGGTACTGAAGAAAAGTTTGGCAGACATTTGGCCATTACACCATTAACCAAATTAATAGGTTTAGCCATTACTTTATACCAAATGGTTTTTATTTCCATAATGTTTGACATCTACTCTTTTCCAGTTAGAGCTGCCCTTACGCATTACATGTGGTAACCCCTAAATGGGCTATTGTTTTGCAAAAGCCATTTTCTACTAAAGTAATGTGCAAAGGAAAGTCATTTCTAGAGCTTTGAGTCACTTTAGTATTAATTACCACCCAATTAGGCATACTTGAGGCTTCAAGAAGACCTGGACAAGCTGCAGGAATGGTTGAACAAATGGCTGTTAGAGTTTAATCCAAGCAAATGTAATGAAGATAGGGGTAGGAAGCAGGAGACTGGATACAAGGTATCATTTGGGAGATGAAATACTTCAAGAGTCAGAGAGAGAGACCTGGGGGTTGATATCACACCAGACCTGTCCCCTGAAGCTCATATCAAGAGGATAACAGCAGCAGCATATGCCAGGTTGGCTAACATAAGAACGGCCTTTAGAAACTTGTGTAAGGAATCTTTCAGAACGTTATATACCACACATGTCAGACCAATCCTGGAGTATGCGGCACCAGCATGGAGTCCATATCTAGTCAAGCACAAGACTAAAATGGAAAAGGTTCAAAGGTTTGCCACCAGACTAGTACCCGAGCTGAGAGGTATGAGCTACGAGGAGAGACTACGGGAATTAAACCTCACTTCGTTGGAAGACAGAAGAGTTAAGGGGGGGACATTATCACCACATTCAAGATACAAGGGAATCGACAGGGTTGATAAAGACAGGCTGTTTAACACAAGGGGCACACGCACTAGGGAACACAGGTGGAAACCGAGTGCCCAAATGAGCCAGAGATATTAGAAAACTTTTTTTTAGTGTCAGTGGTTGACAAATGGAATGCATTAGGAAGTGATGTGGTGGAGGCTGACTCCATATACAGTTTCAAGTGTAGATATGATAGAGCCCAATAGGCTCAGGAACTTTTACACCTGTTGATCGACAGTTAAGAGGCGGGACCAAAGAGCCAGAGCTCAACCCCCGCAAGCACAACTAGGCGAGTACTAGTATGCTAGCTAATCAAGTCCTAGTCATGTTTGTCAAAATCCTCCAAGTCATGTTATTGTTTGAAGGTTGAGGTAGACTGCTGCACAAGTAAACAGCAATTATGCAAGATCAGCTCCAATAAGCTAGAGGTAACCGATCAGTTCAGTCAACTACCATTGAAGCCAGAAGATTGGTTTAATTAACAGTTCTCAGCATACTGGCACAGTAGAATTTACCAAGACCTAAATTTACAAGTATCTCGGCATCTGATTATGGTCAAGATTTATCACTAGTATACCATAAAATATCAATACAGTATCAACAAAACTACACCCAATTTCCCCATACACGGGCTCCTAATATTGCCATTTTCCATTTACATTTACTTACAGGCATTCCTCTAGTTCAATTTTTAACTAGAGCAAGAACTAGTTAAAACCAAATAACTGGTCTAGGCTTTTAACTTAGTCAATTCACATGTTCAGAATGGTCATTTGCTAGGGAAATTCTAAGCATTTAAAGCTAGCATATACAGAATTTGCAATTGCTATTTGCACTAAACCATCGTACTGCAGTACAGTAATACGAAACTAGTTTGAACCAACCATTTGTACCAAGAGGTTTGACAAATTCCTCCAATGCCACTAAAGCATTGTCTTTATGAAGTTAACTTTAGTAACTTTCTAGCTAATTGTAAAGTCAGCACACCTGTAAACTAGCAAGAGCTCAAAGGATAAAATGCAAAAAGTTGCACCAATTTGGACCAAGGATGTTTAATAATATTCCTTAAATAGGCATGGTGTAATTCTTCCAATTTACACATTTACAAACAGCAACCATTAAGTGAAAGTTGCCTTTATGGAAAGCCCAGTTTCTAGAAATTATTGCTGGTTTAGTTGGTGAACACTTTTACTCTACTGGGGTACTGCCTCTTTCAGACAGTTGGGGGATTGAACTATCCAAGCAGTTAGCCAATATTCCTTTCATCCATCCTATCCCAAACACTTATCTAATCCATTATAGTCAAAATGCTAGTCATTACTACAGCACCATCTTGGCAGGCCATTTCATACTTTAACCCCCATTCTTTACTCCAGGTGGTAAAACTTTTACACACGAGTTTTGTAGGCAAAACCTATAAATTCCTATATAGTAAAGTTTCTGTAGTCATTGTAGGCTCTACATTGTTCTGGCAAAATTATCCCCCCCCCCCTCCCTCTAAGTTACTGAATTTAGAGAATTAAAATGTTACACTATGGACAAAGCCCAGTCACTGACAAGTACATGCTGTCCATTAACTAGTGCACTATATGCATGCAACATCCATCCAGTGGGTCAGCAAGTACAAAATGCAAAATTGGCATGGTATTTGGGTCTCATTCATTTAGTAAAGTTACAATCTGAAACTTTACTATTTTCTTAACAGGACCACATTACACCAAGCAATTTAGACAAGCGGCAAACCAGTTACATTAACTTCACTTAGTTCCTAGGATTACAGCAAGGTACGAGACATTGTCAAATCTGCTTTGGCAGGTAGTGCAAACTGAAGTGTTTAGGAATGGCCAGGTTATGTTTTGGGGCTTAACACTCCCACAGCCAGGTCCTTGACCAAGACCTTTTTTGTTACACATACCCAGGAAGCAGCCCATAGCAGCTGTAACTCGCAGGTACCAATTTACCACTAGGTAACAGGGTCATCAGGGTGAACTGACGATTTGTTTCCCCCTCCACCGGGGAAGGAACCCAGAACCTTGGTATTAATGATCCGGAGCACTGTCCACACATCAGGCCCTGGCCAAACCTAGCAGTAGTGACTAGATATCTGCCAAAAAGTGGACAACTGATGCATGGCTTCCTGCATAGTAATATGGTAGATTGAATTATGGTAGTTATTCAATCTGTTCAAATGCAATACAGAATGGTAATGAACCCTTTACTCCAAGTTATACCACCGACTAGTTAATATGGGGCGAGATCTACACATTGGCCTTGCTCCAGATACAAGCACATCTTTTCATTGCAGTGAATAATTAACCTCCCTACTTTGGTCACATTAAGGCAAGGCATCTATTTTGTCTTAAGAGAAGCCCCAGTTATAAGTACTAATAGCAAAATTTTTCTTCCAGTTGCATGGCACACTATACTGAGGAAGCACCAATTAATTTTCCTCAAGGCATTATGCTTTAAGTACAAGATCATGGATGGGAAGGAAGGGATAGTATTTGGAAAGGGGTGACTATCCCCATGATGCACGAGTGCTGTTAGATCATTAACTGAAGATTGTTGCTACAGATTTTGAAGCCATTGATGGATGGTTGTTCGATCAAGCCTAAAGATGGAGGATATATGCAGGGGTTCAAGTGGGAGAAAAGCCATTCTGCTACAGGTTTCACCAATTCACTTTCATACCTTTGATAATTTGCAATTAATTATTGTACAAGTGTATACAAGGACACTTATGTTTACTGTAACTAGGTTACTTTATAGTTGATTATAGCTAGTTTTAAGATTTCAGGGCCCAATGCGAGCCTCTGACCACTAATCACCCTCAGGATAGTAGAGAGCAGGAACACACTGGTAAAAGTTAAATTACTCCTAGTAATACTGGTATAGTCACCAGGAATAGTTTGGAATCATTAGTCAAAGTTTCGTAGACGTGTTAGGTGCGGAGCATAAATATACTTTCTACACGGCATAGAAAAAAAATATTCAAAACTAGCAGAAACTTAAAAATTAATTGGTCAAAGTGGGAGTGAAGAGCCCCGAGAATTACGAGAAAATTAAAAACAAAGTTTACATTAATTATTAATAATGTTTACAGGTGTTAACATATGGAGTGACTAGTCATCAAGACGGCCATGATGACCACCTGGGCGACCCGGCTGCCCCCGGGGGCACCTCTAACCCCCCCCCCCCCCCCCACCCCCCATATATATTCCTCACCCTTCCAGAACTTGCGTCAAGCAACGGACGCAACGACCCCCCCACCCTACTACAACATACACCAACACAACGTAGTAAACATGTAACCCAAAACACACCCGCATTGGTTTACATTAAGTGGGCGTAAACTACGTATCACATGACCCAGCTGCCACCTACACCCACTAAACACCACCACGACCTAACCTAACCTTCCCCACCTATCATTACCCTCACCTGAGACGACCAGCAGGACGACCACCAGCACCCCCGAGGTGAAGTGTAGAGCCATGGCGGTGTGGTATAAGATATCCCGTCAGCGTTTATAACCACTCACAAGACAATCCCCCGAGCGAGTGAGTGTCCAGTGCGGCCCGCACCTCCCGCCTGCCCTTCCTCCTCCCCCCTCCTGGCTCTTCCCTCCGTCGTCCGCACCCCCGCGCCGCCACCATCCCTTATTCCTCTCTTTCTCCTCCTTCCTCTACATTCCTCTCCCTTCTCACCCGCGGGAGGCGTGGGGTAAATGACGCTATTTGATTCTGTTGGTTATACAAGGGGTTATGGAGGCGCATTGGGGAGTTTTGGGGATGATTAATTGGGGAGTGGAAGAGCCGATCAGCTGACTGTCTCCTCTTCCTCCCCCTACCCCGGGACCCAACACGAGCGGCTAGTTTAAATTGTCGTTCGCAGTTTGGGAATGACTATTATGTATATATATACATTTTCCAATATATGTACGTTATAAAAAGCCGCACTGCTCGTGTGGTACGTAAGACTAGCACGATTGATACTGGATTCAAGTTCAAGTATGTTTATTGAGACAAGAATTATGCCCGAAACGCTTTGCGTAATAGTGGCTTTAGGCATTGTATGTACTAGCTATACCTATAAGTCAAACAATCCTTGTAAATATTTATTGTATGTATGTACCTTACCTAAATAAAATTGTATTGTATTGTGTATTGTATAGAAAAAAATAGATCTCAAAGGGATGTAGCCCTTTGTAACTCATCTCAAAGTAGCTTAGGCTATTTATATCCTCCTCTATGTCAAGTCCCTCAAGGGGGGTGCACAAATTCAGTGAGTACAAATACACAAATCACAATACAAGAATACCATTTAACATTTCAGGTTAATGTAGTACTATCTAAGAGTATAATAGTGTACATCCACCGCTCTAGTTTTTAACCCATTAACCCAGAGGGTTGAACACCGCTAACACTACTAGAAAATTCATTTTCCTGACTATCCTCTATCATCAATATGTCATGCTTTTCCTTACTTTCTTCTATGCACGTTTCACTTTCCATTTCACGTCCTATTTCACTTTCTATTTCACGTCCTGTTTCACTTTAAATTTCACGTCCTGTTTCACTTTCCATTTCACGTCATGTTTCACTTTCTATTTCACATCCTGTTTTACCACCATCTTCACCCCGTCTACCCTCCATAGCTAATTTTTTCTATTGCCTCAATCCTCTTGTCGAGTTTTTTTAGATAATCCAATAATTGAGTACCAACCTCCAAGTTCACTATATTGTCCTGAACCTTGTTTCCACAAGGTTTGATTTTTTCAGCTGCATTTCCTACTTTCCCTAGGCTCGCCTTAATTGTCTCCGTTCCTTTCTCCCACACATTTTTATTTTTTTTAAATTTTGCCCCGAGGGGCGAGTTTATTGGGCAGCGATAAACTCGCCCCTCGGGGCAAAATTTAAAAAAATTAAAAATGTGTGGGAGAAAGGAACGGAGCCTAAGGCGAGCCTAGGGAAAGTAGGAAATGCAGCTGAAAAAATCCAACCTTGTGGAAACAAGGTTCAGGACAATATAGTGAACTTGGAGGTTGGTACTCAATTATTGGATTATCTAAAAAAAACTCGACAAGAGGATTGAGGCAATAGAAAAATTAGCTATGGAGGGTAGACGGGGTGAAGATGGTGGTGAAACAGGATGTGAAATAGAAAGTGAAACAGGACGTGAAATGGAAAGTGAAACAGGACGTGAAATAGAAAGTGAAATAGGACGTGAAATGGAAAGTGAAACGTGCACAGAAGAAAGTAAGGAAAAACATGACATATTGATGATAGAGGATAGTCAGGAAAATGAATTTTCTAGTAGTGTTAGCGGTGTTCAACACACATTGTTCACAGGGGGGCTGTCACTGGCTTCCAGCTGTTTCCTCCATGTTCCTGCTGCACAATCTTTCCTTCCTTCGAGGATACATCAGTCTTTAGTATGATGTGATGGGGCCCACGAGCATAAGGTCCCTATGCTCGTGAGGTCCCTATGCTCGCAGGGCCCCTATGCTGGTGGGGACCCTGGGCAAGTGCCCATCGGGACCATGCGGTAACATGGCTCTTAATTGGTATTGCTTCTTCCCGCAGTCGGCTCCTGACTGATTGGTCCCAGGTTCGATTCTCAAATACGATGAAACGTTTGGGATTGTTTCCTTACACGTAATGGGAGTTTTATAACTGTTGCGGATTGCATCCTGGGAAAAGTCAGTCGTTGGTTTGAAGCTAGACACAAATATAACAGCTTTTTAGTGATGGGTTAATAGTCCATTTCATATGGATTCTATCACATGTTAGTTTCCGAATGGATGATAAGGCAGTTGAGTTAGGTAAAGAATCTGCTTTCAAAGAACTTGACTATAATCTTGGATTGCCTATAAGCAGCCTGAGAACAATACACCAAAAACGTCAACAAAACCTTATAGATCTGAGGCAGCGTAATAATCTACTCTGACAGTTCCATCTATCATCATGCTATCATACAAAAAGAGCCACACATCTACGGATCGTCCAATAAAGTCAGCAGACTCCTAGATGTTACCACTGCCCATCTTAGACTCGGCTATAAGTGTCTCTGGGAGTCTGCATTACCTGCTGATGTAGACCTGACCAAATGTAAACTGTGTTAGCAAAATTATTCGCACACCCTCCGTCGTTATTTGAAGAAGTACGAAAAGATATGTGAACTTAGAGACAGCGCTATACAAATGTTCAAGAAATGTGTAAATATTTCATACAAAATGTATAGATACTTGTATGGTCAGCACAGTAGCCGGACCAGGCAATGTGATGTAGTCACTGCGCGAATTCTTGGCTATAGACACATCTGGCAGGTTAGTGAGGCTGAGCCACTACCAGAATATTCAGATTGTAAACTCTGTGACAAACCTTTAATGCATTCACTAGAACACTATATTGTTGATTGTGAAATCGTAAAAGATTCTAGACCTGGCCTATTGTACCACCAACTGTGTAACTATTTCACTGAATCTGGTGTACTGGACGACATCCTAACAATTTATCCTAAATTTGCTTGTCCATTTTAAAGAATGAAGAACAATTATATTTATATTATTATTTTTAAAGCTGCATCTCTTATGAACCCATCCCTGCCCTTGTGTGGCAGTGCACAATAGAAAGTTGTATTTGCATATTCGTACATTGAAACATTGATTGCAACCATGATATATATGTACTTCAGTCTACAGTTCAGACCTATTGTCTTGTGTATGATCCTCTGTCCTGTGTGACAGTGAATACCAGCATTATCCTCACCCTAATAATACTTAATTGAATTCCTCAGATTAGGCAAAATTGTAATTAATTTTTGCCAATAAAGATAGATGCTAGTTATAATAACAAATTCAAAATGATCTACCAGAAATGTTAACTAAATGTCCTCCCGGTTTGCTAACTGTAGGTAGTAAATGTGAAATAATTATAACCTTTCAAGTTCAAGTTCAAGTATGTTTATTGAGATGGGGGTGGGAAGTGCATGATAAGCAAATCAAATTATGAAACTAGCTCACCTCATATGTAAGTTTTCCATCACTTCTATGATGTAGTCTTAGTATTCATCTAGTAGTTTGGTTTAGTCTCTCCCATGTTCTCATTCTATTCATCTACCATGCTCTTCGCTCTGTGTACATTATGTGCAAGATTTTGAGACTCCTTGTCTAGACAGTGTCCCTGGTCTTATAAGCTGACTCTTGAAGGAGTCTTTCATTTGACGGGAAAGAACGTCTGAGACGTTCTCCTTGGATGACTCCTATTACAGGAACAGAGTGGAGTGTGCTAGTAATTATGGGGCGAGTTTTTGGGGTTATAAATTTAATTTCTACTACAGATGTGGGGACAATTCGTTATAGAATGGTAGCCAACATATATATGTATATATATACATTTCCTTCTGTCCTCCATGGACAAGGTTAGAGATCTGTTAGACAACATAGTGCAGTGAGTGATCAAACACTCAACCACGCAAGTTGTTCTAGTGCTAACCAACATACATTCTCATTTGCTTTACATCTTACACAGATGTCTAAATCTTACAGTTATACAGTCTAAAGTCTTATTGAGTTTTCGAGATTTTACAATGCTAACCAGGATGCACACAATTACTACAGTTTCGCCTCCTACTTTGACAGGGCAAGGGCTAGTTGGTTGGTTGGGGGGGGGGGGAGGGAGTGCTGTTGGCAGAGTGTGGAGTGGAGGGTAGGGAGGGGGGAGAAGAGTGAATCTGGGGGAGGGGGGGAATGGGTACGCTGCCTCGAGGGGTCACTCTGGGAAGGGTATAGAGTATGACGGTGTACTCACCTAGAGTACACCGTCAGGGTCGAGCTAAGCTCCAAGCCCCGCCTTCCGAACACTCTTAGATTAATGTAGGCTTATTTATCACGCGTTTATCGCATTTACATTTAACACTTTGAATCGAATTAGCTTCAACGTCTTCTGCATCTAACCTATTCCATTTATTGACAGCTCTAACAAGAACAAAAATTCTTCCTAATGGCTCTATGGCTCTATGACTGACTTGCGTCTCCAGTTTACTTCTCTGATCCTTCGTTCTGCTGTTCCTAGCTTTGAACAATGCTGCTTTGTCTACTTTGCCAATTTTCCTACGAATCTTATATGTCGTTATCATGTCCCCCCTATCTCTCCTTTCCTCCAGTGTGGTAAGGACCAGTTCGCTTCATGCAGGCCAGCGTTCAATCCCCGACCGTCCAAGTGGTTGGGCACCATTCCTTTCCCCCGTCCCATCCCAAATCCTTATCCTGACCCCTTCCCAGTGCTATATAATGGCTTGGCGCTTTCCCTGATAGTTTCCTTTGTCCTTTTTCAAGTTAAGGTTCCATGCTGGGGATGCATAATCAAGAGTGGGTCTCACCTACATAAACATAATTTATAATATCAAATTAAATACTTCTAGAGTGTGGACATCTAAGAGTCATTAGAAATATGTGTGGAATAATAAACCCCACATTGTTTGAGTTAGGAAAACACTATTTGTCAAATATAGATACTGTTCTTAAAAAGATTCCCCCATTTTGCACCCACAAGATAACGTACGATTTTAAGGGTTGACGAATGTTAATCTTCTTGTTTGA